CTGCACTATCATTAAAATACCAGCGTCTGAAGAAATGGATTTCATCCTTGAAAACTTGCTCTTTGTTCAGTTTTTTAGTACTCTAATAAAGATATTGCCTACTCTTGCATTTGTGTAATCTTAAGGACCACGTGATCTTTTCCTAATTTTTTTCTAAGGTTTTGTGGCTTACTGCATCTTTCTCATCAAGCCGTGCATTACCAGTAAATATGTTAGGGTTGGCCTACAGAGACATTATTCTGGGACATTGTGCTGTTACAGCTGGTTTGGGGGAGCATTAAACAGTTAATAAAGGCCTGTCTTTTCTGGACCCATGCTTCGCAGGGCAGCCATTTTAACAGCTGATCGGCGCTCGGAAAATGGCTTCCCCTATGGGCAATCTTTGCTGGACGACGAGGTAATTTCCCCATTGGAACACATTAAATGGGTTTCAGTGCATTCCAATGGGGAATTTTTTTTGCATGACAACGATTTCGCTTAACAGTGATTTCCCTGGAACGGATTATTGCCGTCATGCGGGGCAACACTGTACTCTAATAAAGGAATTGCCTACTCTTGCATTTGTCTAATCTTAAGGACCAGATGGTCTTCTCCTAATTTTTTTCTAAGGTTTTGCGGCTTACTGCATCTCTCTCATCAAGCCGTGCATTACCAGTAAATATGTTAGGACATTATTCTGGGACATTGTGCTGATACAGCTGGTTATTGCCGTCATGCGGGGCAACACTGTACTCTAATAAAGGAATTGCCTACTCTTGCATTTGTCTAATCTTAAGGACCAGATGGTCTTCTCCTAATTTTTTTCTAAGGTTTTGCGGCTTACTGCATCTCTCTCATCAAGCCGTGCATTACCAGTAAATATGTTAGGACATTATTCTGGGACATTGTGCTGATACAGCTGGTTTGGGGGAGCATTAAACAGTTAATAAAGGATAATAGTTGGATGAATTCTGTTTCTAAAATATTGTTCTGATGTGTGTCTATCACAGCCCAATAGTTTTCGCACTAATTTTTAATATCTGATGCCCATTCCGGCCTATTCCACTCCATCCTGGCTTTTCCTTAGTCATCATGCTTTGAAAGATGATCTACAAGTGACGTGCTGGGAACTAATAAAAGTATTTGCTTTTTTTCCCTACAAAACATTGGGGGGTTGTTCTAATCGGAAACTCGTAGATAAGAGGCACGCTCTCCCCAACCCACCCAGCAAAATATGCAATAATCTAGATAAGTGATGGGACCACCGTTTTTGACTCAAGACATAAAGGAAGTAGAGATCTGTAAATATCTTCAAGTACCAGCTCTGGTTTGAGAGCAATACACTTTGGCTGTCTGGGAGCGTGCTTAAGCTCTGCTTCCACCTATGGTTCAGCTGTATATTTGCAAATATAAATCAGAGATTACAGAGTGGGAGTGACAGACTTTCTTCCCAAGGAAATCAAAGCCAGGTGATTATTGTACCTGTGGAATGTCTCATTGCTCAAAGGAGCAAGTTGTGGATAACAATCATTTTCACAGAAAGAGAGGGCCTGCTTATGGTGGACCATCCGCTGCTTTGTAGATAATAAACAACAACATTCTTTTGGGGAGAAAGACTTCCTAGCCCCACCTCCTCCGGTGGGCATCCCCTCAGAGGCAGTACCTGGAGGACGCACGGCACGGAAGCCAGGCACTATTTCTGAGTAGGTGGCCTAAGAAGCACCAAACAACTGTTTGGCCGGTAAACGAACTGGCATGAACTGCAGAAATTAACAATTAGCTTCATTGACCACGTTTGCCTACCACATTAAACTAGGGATCATGACTTCTGAAAACTCGGCACGCCCACACTGCAGCTGCTTGCTCTTTTATCTCTCACCTGCGTATGCAGCAGAGCTTGGAAAAATTACTGTCATAAACTACAACTTCCAGAATCCCCCAATCAGCAAATCATTACTTCCAAAATGTTTCCTCAGAATTCTGCTAAGTAGAACTGCAAGCAAGGTTTGGATCGCTTCGCATCACATCCAATATCAGAAGTACGATTCATTGCACCTGAAAACGAAGACTCATAAACCAAAAATACTCTGAAGTTATCTTATGAATACTGGGTTTATCAGATGCAACAAATCATAATCTCTGCTTCAGATGTAACTCTAAGCTATCAATGCCTTACTTTGTTACATACAGAATATATACTGTGTTTCCACGAAAACAAGACAGGGTCTTATATTAATTTTTGGTCCAAAAAATGCATTAGGGCTTATTTTCAGGGGATGTGTTTTTTTTCATGTATGACAATCTACATTTATTCAAATATGGTCATGTCATCTTCTAATGGCTGCTGCACAAGGATGGAGAGTAGGCTTTCACTTAAGTGGGGCTTATTTTTTGGGGTAGGACTTATATTACGAGTATCCTGAAAAATCATCCTAGGGCTTATTTTCAGGTTAGGTCTTAGGGAAGTTAATGCATATTATAATTTAATAATTCATGATTTCTAGCTTAAGTGGCAAACCCTAGAACCTAGACTTTACAACGAAGGATGGGACATTTATATTTTTCAAACTACAGCACCCAAACCTCTGCGGAATTTGCCCCAGCCAGAATTCTCAGGGCTTGGCTGTCCCTCTTAGGTCTACAAAACTCTTCCCCTTTGGAGGTACAATTGGCCCATTTCCTCCTTTCTTTTCATCAGCAACTAAAAATACACCTCTTTAGACAGGCTTTTCGGGAATCGAGAGGCAACTGAGATAGGGAAGTCCTTTAAAATTCAGATATATAATTTTTTAAATACTGTTTTAAATATCTCTATATTAGGGTTTCATATTTTAACTGGTCTGGTTTTAATTATTTGCAGATCTTTAATATTTCTGCATACTGCTTTGGGTACTCACAAGGGAGGGAGGGAGATTGCCATTAGCAAACGCAACTTCATATTGACAGCTGATTTGAGCATCAAGGAAGGGGGTAGCCTTTTTTTAAAGAAGCTGCATAAATTTTTGCTTTAGCTGTGATTGCTCAGGATTTGCAGGAATAGTCAACACACTATAAATCCACTTAAACAGATAAAAGGAGAGGAAGATCTTAGATACATCAGGGCATGGGACCCATTCCATTATTCAGCTTGTACCATGATCACGCCATGGTATTTGTTGCCCCCGTTATGAAGTGGAAAAAGTAAGTGCAACCAATTAAACGTGCAATTAAAATACCAACTGCAGCACATAATAGCAACTCTGCTATGATTGGGTGTACTGGCATGAAAACATTTCAGTGCATGGAGTCCAACACAGACAGGAAGCTGCAGTCAAGCGAGTCAAGTCACTTGTGTCTTGGCCACTGATTTCTGCCAGATCCCAAACCAGCCTTCCTCAGAACATCATCCTGTTAGAGCAGATGCTTGGAGAATGCAACACAGAACAGCGCCTTTTGATTCCCAAACCAGGTAAAAGCCCTCGATTGCAACACGAAAATGGACATTATCCAAAGTTCTGCTCACAAAGTTTGTTTTCCAATTTTTGAGTCTCCATCTCCTTACTGTGTCATTTAATAAAATGACTCTTAAAAAAAATGGGCATCATGGGCAGTCCATATTATTTACCCACTTAGACGTGCGTGTGTTTTAAATCATCATCTCAAATAAATGAGACAAAGTTGGAATGACAGATGCAACAGAGCTGCATCCTGATCCATCATGCCAAAGAGGCAGATGGACACTTGCAAAAGTCACTTCTGCTGTGCAGCAAAGCTGCTGTAAAAGCTGCACTGTAAATCCGCAGAAAAATAACGAGTGCCCCTTTCTAGCAGCTCGGCACCAAATTTGAAACTGACATCATTTATTGAGTAAATAACCAGAGTAGAAGCCCATCTAACCTGGGCAGGTCACTTGGAATTGATGCAATCATTTTTTAATTCAATGGTTAATACTAATTTCCAAATAACCAGAGTATAAGCCCATCTAACCTGGGCAGGTCACTTTTTTAATTCAATGGTTAATACTAATTTCTTCTTTGACACAAAGTATTTAACTAGGAAGAGAACAAAAACATTGTTTTTTAATTCTAATCAGTCGTCTCCCATCCTCAGCAACATGCAGGAAGCTGCCTTCTACTATGCAAGATCATTGGTCCAGGTACAGTACTTCATATTGCCTACACTGATTGGCAGGGGATCCGATCAGAGCCATTCCCAGATTTACCCAGAGATCCCAGGAATTTAGCCTTTTACCTGTAGACCATGTCCTTCTGCCACTTAGCTGTTGCCTTACATTCACAGTGTAATCACAATAACATTTTTTCTCAGATCACTAGTGCTTTTAATATAGGGTTTTGAAAAAGTCAGTTCCAGTATGTGAAGATGAGTTCACATACTTTCAACCAAGGAACGTTATTCCTAATCTAAGTAATAATTATGATTACTATGTGTGTCAAGTCAATTGCGACTTTTGGCAACTCCTTCCTAACGGCAATCCATTCTATTAGATAAGATTTCAACAACCAAATTCATTCAAAACAGTTTTGATATGAAATTAAGCCATAACACCAGGCAACAGAAACTTTAAAAAAAATTTTTTTGCAGTAGTATAATTCCGTGAAACAGACAATAAGTTCAAGCATAACAGCACAGCTTGATAGAGGCTTTAAAAATAGAAAACAGCCGAATGACATTACCTACCACACTACTGACCAACATGATCTCATTGACATCACACAAAACAACTTTAAAATGCACTGGAGAATTCCCACTTCAAATTTAAGCTGATCAATCAGGAGAGAGAACAAATAGAGAACACGGACAACTAAAGGAATGCCTACCGGTGCTGTCCTCCGTTTCCTGCAACATCCTGAGTGAATCCTGCAAAGAGAAGAGAAAAAAGATTCTAAAATTATACCATGGCTATGCTGAACATCAGAATCTTTAATATCCAAACAAAAATCAATGTTCTTAATCATACAAATCAGTGAAATGGAGTCCCAAGAAGGTTACTGTTTTTTGCTGTCAAGGTAAGTATTCCCATACTCTCTGGCATGGGTAAAAAAAAAAAGTTTATTTCCTGCTTGGAGGCATAAAACGATAAGAATCACAAGGAGTAAAACTTTGTTATTTATGGTATGTACCAAACCTATGAAGAGCTTTATAGTCTGTCCCCTCCATTACATATTTTTCACTAGCTGGCTTTTCCTAAAATGGCCTAAACACCTAAAGGGGCAACAATTTGGGAGCGTTCTGGAGGCAACTAATGCTGCAAATGAGTGGCTACACCAGCAGTCGGAAGAATTTTATTTGCAGGGACATGGTGGTGCTGTGGGTTAAACCGCTGAAGCCTCTGTGCTACAAGGTCAGAAGACCTACAGTCGTAAGATCGAAGCCACGCAATGGAGTGAGCCCCCGTCGCTTGTCCCAGCTCCTGCCAACCTAGCGGTTTGAAAGCATGCAAAAATGTGAGTAGATAAATAGGTACCACCTCGGTAGGAAGGTAATGGTGTTCTGGTTCTAGTCACGTTGGCCACGCGACCACGGAAACTGTCATTGAACAAACGCTGGCTCTACAGCTTGGAAACAGGGATGAGCGCCGCCTCCTAGAGTCGGACATGACTGGGCAGATTGTCGAGGGAAACCTTTACCTTTACCTAAGAAATGGCAGGACAGATGTTGCAAGTGTGTTGACTTCCTGGGGGACTATGTAGAACAGTGTGGCAGTTACAGCTTCCTAGCTCAATTTTTTCTGGGAAAGGCTCAATACTTATCAGCACCTCCTCATATAATTTGTATGTCTACCACCCCATATTCATCAAATTTGGAGGGACTGCAGACAAGAGGCAGCAGAAACTTTTCTGTAATTTTTGTGTCTCTAGGTGCCGGAGGGGGACTTTACCGGGGGAGGCCTCCTTGTGGGTATATAACCTGGACAGCCAATACCCAAACTTCACCAAATTTGTAGGGCTTGTAGAGGAGAGTCAGGAAAAGCTTCCCTGAAAGTTTGGTGTCTGTAACTGCTTCGGGGACATTTTATAGGGTTTTAAGGTCAAAAATGAATTGACAAATCAATTCATCAGGAAAAACATTGTAAATTCACAATTTGTGATTTGTCAGCCTTGACACATCATGAATCCAAATGAATCACCATTTTTCTGATTCAGCCTTGACACATCACGAATCCAAATGAATCACCGTTTTTCTGATTCGTACCCATCTCTAGTTGTGACTCTTTGTAACACCACAATGGAAATGTTACCAATTCCAAATTACTTTGGCTGGCTGGAATGTTCTAATTGTTGTAGTTTTTTTAAAAAAACTTTCCCACACATTGCTCTTAAACCTCTAAGTGGTTTGGATCTAAAACAACTACATCACGAATCCAAATGAATCACCGTTTTTCTGATTCGTACCCATCTCTAGTTGTGACTCTTTGTAACACCACAATGGAAATGTTACCAATTCCAAATTACTTTGGCTGGCTGGAATGTTCTAATTGTTGTAGTTTTTTTAAAAAAACTTTCCCACACATTGCTCTTAAACCTCTAAGTGGTTTGGATCTAAAACAACTTCCAAGACTACCTCAATTCTTCCTACATCTGCCAAGATTATATGATCTTTGGTACACGTTGTTCTGTAAATCCTCTGCCATTTGAGTCTAGTTTGACAAAGTCAGGGGTGAGAGAAAAGGGTCTCCCTGCAGAAGCCTCTCCATAAGTTTAACTATTGGCACAAAGAGCTTTAAGTTAAATATGCCGATATATTCAGTCCCACCCCTTGTCCTCTGGCCCTTCCAAAGGACTTCCTCGCCTACAAAACATTATACATGTCAGCATTTCCAAAGAGAAAACTCTCAAAACAACAAGCCCATGACTTGAAACAACTGTTGAAAGATTCCAGGTCAGGGAAGCAGAAGTATCGGAGAATAACACATTTGGATCAAAATATTTGCACTTACTTCTAGGGCGAGATTCAGAGTTGGATAACACTTGTTATCAACCCTCAAAACAGGCGAGATTAAAATCCCTTATCAGAATTTTAAAAAATGAAGTCATGCCTGAACATTACAAAACATGCTGTGGCAAAAAAGGGCTCCACCCTCTAAGTAAAGTTTCTGTTCCTACCGATACTGTTTGTACTGTACAACAAGCGAGTTACCTGTACAAGGCATATTCTGGGATGAGGAAGTAGTTAAAGAGCGGTAACGGCCAGAAAAATTCTTCCAGGAAGAAGCCCCCCGTCCCTTCATCATTAGCACCAAAGCTGTGTCATGGAAGAGGAATTCCATTCATGCAGACAGGAAAATATTCCTTGATGCTCTTTGTACTAAAAAATAATACTGTAATTCATAAAAGACAACTGACAGGTCTGCCGTCGTATTGGCATTCAGTCTTCGAAATTTTTTGGGCCAACTCCCAGAAGTTCCTTTTAGAACTTCCAGAAGTGCCACTCAAGGTCCAGATTTCTGAGAGCTGAAATCCAAAAGAAATTCAAAAGATTTTAAAGGTTGAAAACCATTGTTCTACAGCAATGGCAGGTAACACTCAAGCTTCCGGCATCTACTGCCTAGAAAAACCTGAACTTGAAAAAATATCATTATTTTGGCTAATATACTGGCTGGGAATTCTGATTGGGTATTCTGGGAGCCGTGGGCCAAAATGTTTCTTGGCTACACTCTGTCCTACGCAGATTGCATGGAGGGAAACGAGCTGCATCTTTATCTAATGGAAAAAAAAATTGTTCAGTTATTTTGTTTACAGCTGTGTGGATAGCTAGGCATCTGGCGGTGCAGCTGGAGGTTAGCAGCACAGTTCTGCACTGTGATTCCTAGAAGGGCCAGCCTGTATAACCTTGGGCAAGCTGCACAATCTTAGGTTGCCCCCAGAAGAAGGGAATGGTAAACCACTTCTCTGAATTCTCTACCTTAAAAACTTTGGAAAGAGTTTTGCTGTAAGTCAGAATGGACCTTTCGGTACACAATTGTTACTATTGTTTTATATATATTTGTTAAAGCACTAGATATTAATTTTAATATTCTGTGATTGCAATTTTATCTACCGTACTCCATATTAAATCTGGAAAATATCCAGTATAAGACGCAAAGCAAAGAGTCAATATTTAAAGTCAGATTCATCAGCGGTGATCAAGCTCCTCACAAGACATGGATCCTGTACAGTGGTACTTCGCGGGATGAAAAACCCGCAAGACAAATGTTTTTTGCTATCACTCGCAAGACAGCTTCTTCTATGGCCCTGCTTCACAAAATGATTTTCCCCCCGCAAGACTGATGCCTCGCAAGACGAAAATAATTCATTTATCTTGCGAGGTTCCCATAGGAATGCATTGTGATGCATTCTTATGGGAAAGGGAAACCACTTTTCGCAAGATGAACATTTCGCAAAACAGCGCTACTCGTGGAACGAATTACTTACATCTTGCGAAGCACCACTGTACCTTGGTGTCCCAACAAACTCCTTTGCATTTATTGGACTACTATAAATGTGTATATAGTACAGCACTGACCACAACCTAGCATTGGGTTGTTTTCATACCACCTTACACAGAAGATGTGCAGGCTAAATGATTTTGGATCAACCACAGGGAGGGACAGCTTCCTAGTTTCAGTTCCTAACGCAGGATCAGTGATAGGAACAGCTTCCGAGTTTCATTTCCTCTAATATTGCTGTCATTTGTATTTTCAATACTCTCTGTATTTGAAGTGAACAAACTTTAGATTTATAAGACCTACTTTATTTTTCACTACAGATCCAAGATGAACTATGGTTGCCGGATTCCAGTTCTTGAAATCCAGGTGGCCTTATCAGCATATCAAGCTAATTAAAACATTGTGCCAATTAAGAACCTTCATATTTGCACTGTTTTTCTAGCAATATGTCTTGATTTTGGTGTTAATGATATAGTAAACCCCAATCCGAGTAAGCCAATATGCCATACTGGTTAGGCCCAATCTGAGTAAGCCAATATGCCATACTGGTTAGGATTCTAGACATGAAACGAGGAGACTTAAATTCAAATCCCTGCTTAGTTGCAAAGCTTGCTTGGTATCCCTGGGCTAATGACGACCTCTCAGCCAACCTGAGGTTACAAGGTTCTTTGCAAGAGAAAATGGGGAAATGGGGACCATGTCAAGCAGGCATGTGTGTCCCTATTTTAAAGAAATAAAGAAACGGTCAGGAACCCCCTACTGATATTTTCACTGAATAGCTGTTACATTTTGTCATCATTTTTTATTTATGGCAAAAAGTAACATATTGTCACCTGTTGTACAGAACAACATGCAACAGAAAGTGAAGACAAGCTTTATAAATAAGGAGAGGAAACAATGTGATTGAATACTTAATTATAATAACCATCCTCAACTTTCTTTGTCACTTTGAACTTTTTATCATTATAGTATCAAGAATCACTCACTAGAATACCGTATTTTTCTATGTATAAGGTGTCCCCATGTATAAGACGTCCCCCACTTTTCTAATCCAAAATTAAGAAATCTAAGTGAGGCTTAGCAAGTGTAGGGGGGAAGGGATCAAAGCGCTGCAGGATCGCTTTGATCCCTGCTTTCTCCCTTCATGCTAAGTCCTGCGGGGCTTAAAAAAAGGAGGGGGAAAGGGATCAAAGCAATCCTGCCACTGCACGATCGTTTTGAACCCTTTCCCCTTTATACAGCCACAGGATTGCATTGATCCTTTCCCCTCTCCTTTTGCTAAGCCCCATGGGACTTAGTAAGCAGAGGGGAAAGCAGAGATCAAAGCCATCGTGCAGCGCTTTGATCCCTGCTTTCCTTTTGTTAAGGTTTAGCAAGTGGAGAGGAAAGCAGGGATCAAAGCCTTGCAGGATCACTTTGATCCCTGCTTTCC